GCGGGCGAGGGGGGGCGGGGTGCTGAGGTACCGGGCCAGGGGGCGGGGCCTGTAGCCTCCGTCATGTCTTTACTGTGCTGACATCTGGTCCAACCAGCCAGGGAGAGTTTGCAACCTGGAGTGGGCCCGAGAGGGAGCACAGGCTGGCGGAGCACAAGCTTCTCCGGTGCCGCTTCTCTCTAGTCGCCTGCTCCATGGCTGCCCACTGCTCAGTCCTCCAGTTGGCACCTGTGAGTGGAGGCTGGGCGCTGAGCCTGGCTGGGGGGAGAGTGGGGGAACAAGGGGGAGGAGGAGGACAACTGGGAGGCTGCAGGATCAGTGCTGGGATGAAGGGAAACGGTGCAGGGGGGCAGCTGGAGCTCATAGGCAGCCACTCAGCCAGGTTGCTGCACAGGAGCAAGCGGCACAAACAGTCGTTTGGGCTCCATGCTCCCCGTGCAGGAGGAGGAGAAGAAGAGAAAGAGAGAGTGAGAGGCAAGAGGGGGAGAAGAGAAAGAGAGACGGAGAGAGAGGCAGGAGATGGAGGAGAGCTGAGAAAGAGAGAAGGGAAGGCAGTAGGAGGAGGGGGGAGAGAGAGAGAGACAGAGCGAGAGGCTGGAGGCTCAGGAGAGAAGACCGAGATAGAAAGGAAATACGACATGGAGGAGAGACCTGAAAATCCCATCTTATGATGGGCTAATTGGCTAGTAGGTCAATATTTAGGATTTCAATACTTAGTAACAGTGGTGGCCCATCAATACAGGCGATCTAGGTGGTTGCCTAGGGTGCCAAGAAAAATGGCTGTTGAGGGCTTTCTAGGTGGGGGCGCTGATCGCACGTCTCGGCTAGGGCGCCGGTTGCCGGCAGCGCGTCTAGGGCCGCTCCTGCTTAGGAAGCTACAGAGCAATGTATAAAACTTTCAGTTTGCAGACATCCATAGAATAAAGGGGTAATCACTAGCAACTAGGATGGCTTTACCAAGAATAAGTTATGCCAGACTAGCTTGAGAGCCTTCTTTGAGAGGGTAACTGATTTGGTGGATAGGGGAAATGCAGTGGACATAGTGTACTTGAACTTCTGCAATGCTTGTGACAGTCCCATGTGACATTGTGATAAATAAGCTAGAGAAATGGGGCATGACAGAATTACCATTAAGTGGATACACAATTATTTAATCAGCAGCAAACTAAGAGTAAATATTAATAGAATGATGTTGGATTGAATCCAATGGGGATTCCATAGGCTTCTGTTCTGGTCCAGTGTTAATATCTTTATTAATGACCTGGATGTAGCTACAGAGACCACACTGAAAAAGTTTGCAGATAACTCAGTGTTGTCAATACTTACGAAGATAGAGCTAACATTCAGAGGGATCTTGATAAATTGTAGAACTGGGCTATAGCCACCAAAATGAAATTCAACAAATAAATGTAAGGTGCTACATTTAGTGAAGAAAAACCAAATGCACAAATAGAGGATAGAGGAAAACTAGCTTGGCAGCAGTGCTGCTCAGAAGGAGCTGGGAATTGTGGTGGAAAAAACCAAATGCACAAATAGAGGATGGAGGAAAACTAGCTTGGCAGCAGTGCTGCTCAGAAGGAGCTGGGAATTGTGGTGGATCACAACTTCAACATGAATCTGCATTTTGCATGGTATGTTTTTCAACAGCATTGTATTGCTATTTTAGGTTGCATTACCAAAAGGTCATGCAAGTCATGGGAGGTGATAGTACTACTCCACTTGACATTGGTTAGGCCTCAGCTGAACTACCGTGACAAGTTTTGATCACCAGTGTATTGAAAGGATGTAGAGAAACTGGAAAGGATCCAGGAGTGAGCAACAATGAACAGAGGGATAGAAAGTATGCAGTATGAGCAAAGGCTGAAGGAACTGGGTATGTTCCATTTGGAAAAGAGGAGATTAAGGTGGGGATATGATAGCAGTCTTCAGATACTTCAAAGACTGCCATAAAAAGATGGAAAAAAGTTGCTCTTTTACTACAGAAGGCAAGACCATAGGCAATGGGTTCAAACTACAGTATGGCTCAGGAAAAACTTCGTAATGGAACAGACTGAGTTCAAACTACAGTATGGTTCAGGAAAAACTTCGTAATGGAACAGACTGTGTTGGGAAATTGTGGAAGCTCTATCAGTGAAGGTTTTTAAAAGGAGGCATCAAAAATAGCCATCTGGTTTTTTTTTATGGTTTAGACGCAACAAATCCTACATCATGGCAGGAGGGCTGGACAAAACAACCTTTGCTGTCCTTAGGCTGTCCATCCCCAATCTGGCTTGGTAATCAGGTACACCTCTGTCCTGTCAGGCTTTTCCCAAGAAACCCAATTAGTGCTAATAGTGAGTAGATGGTAGAGTGTTGGCTTGAGTGGTAGCTCTCAGGTCTGTCACAGGGTCTGACACACACTCCTCAGTAATGGAGCAGTATGAAGGAGGAAACTAGTTTGCCATTGACCCTAGAAAATGTTGGGATAAACTGGATAAGGGAACAGTTTCTCCTGTGAGCTCTGCAGCAAATGTGGGGATGGATCCACCTTCCTCCTTCCAGTAACTTACTGCATGAAAACTGGAAGTGTCATCCAGAAGGTGAGGCACAGAGAACAATGGCCAATGCTAATCTACACACCCTTCTTTCTTGTTTTCTCTAGGCCTGCAGTTCGAGTTCATTAATCCTATTTTTGAGTTTTCAAAGGGAATGAATGAACTACAGCTCAACGATGCTGAATATGCACTTTTAATCGCCATCAACATTTTCTCTGCAGGTAAAAAGCCAGGAACAAGGCAAAGTGCAGCAGCCCTGAATCAAAGTATAGGAAAAATAGAGCACATGTGGGGTCAGATGCTGAGGAGGAATGACAAGCCTATAGCAAAGGAGGCAGGATCCTAGCATGGATGCTGTGGTAACACAGTATCACATATGCTCTGAGTATTCATTATACTCTAACTCTTTGAGTTGCTTCCATAACAAAGGGAATTCTCCACTGCTTCATGACCTGTTCCATATAACTGAAGTGTAGTCTGTAGCATTTCTTCTAGAAACCAGCATTTTATTTGTCTGGTGCAGTGTGTCTCGACCAATGGTACAAGTACGCTTAGGGGTACTCGAGAGAAGTCGGGGGGTGAGGGTACATCAACACAACTGAAATTTGGAGAAAACTGAGTTTTTGTTTTAAGTTTTACAGCACTTTATTATTGTTGTACTTTTTACACCCAAAAATTTCTTTGCCCGCCTGGCTACGATTAAGTTGTTTAAACAAATGTTTTGCAATGGTAGAAAAAAAAGTGTGTGTCTCTGAAAACTGTAGGTACTGAGGGTACTTATATATATATATATATTTTTAAAAGGGGTACTAATAAAAAAGAAAAGGTTTAGAAACACTGGCCTGGTGAATGCTCATGTTGGTCCTTTGCTATAGGGTAGTCATGACACCTAGTGGTAAGTGAAAGGCATTTGGAGTCTGGGCCCATTACAGCTTGAGTTCTAAAGGGTGGTGTAGTGGAGCTGTCAGATCAAGTTTGTCTCTATTCTTTGCAATTTACACTCTGAGGGAATCGATATTTTCCTATTTTTCATTATTTCTCCCACAACTGTCTGATAAAAGAGACTCTCTCATCCCTATCTATTGGAGCACAGCCTCACATCTTCATTAGGACTGGTATGTGAGACCCAGTGAGCTAGACCAGGCTGCCGTGGCTCAGTAACCTCCTGCCACAAAGTAAAATCATATTTACTTAATAATCCTTTCAAAATGTGGCTGATAAAGATAGATACAAGAAACTTATTCTCACAACAACTGCTGTCTTGCATAAGGCAAGTTGCCTGTATACTATCTGATAGGGAGAGTATAGGACAAGGCTTGGGAGACACTGTCCAGGGATTAGGATTATATTTTTGTGATAGCAACACTGACCAGGCTGCCTACTGCTGCCTACTAATGTCTAAACTATTTCTTGGCAGACCGACCTAATGTGCAGGATCAGCCCTTGGTAGAGAGACTTCAGCACACCTATGTGGAGGCTCTTCATTCTTACATTTGCATCCACAGACCAAATGTAAGTGCCTAGATGAGCCCTGAAAAAAATGAATAAACTCAAGTGTATATGTGAGACTTGATTGTATGACTGATGTGCCCTCCAGTAGCCCCACTCCTTGAATGAATCCTCTGCAATCAGTGATAATTCACCACTTCCTTCAGCTATTCCCTGATGGTCAGCAACATCATTCTCCTCCAGTGCTGTAGGGAGTTGTGGGTAGAGCTGGGCAAAATGCTTTGGATTAATAGTTTGATGAAAAATGCAGCTTCAGTTATCCAAAACTTGATTAATTGGGTGGAATTTGGCAAATATGTTAGGTCAGAATTTTTTTTTTTAGAAGTTATAGAACCATAAAATAATAAAATTGTAGGCCTGGAAGGGACCTTAAATGGTCATCTAGTCTAGCCCCCTGCACTGAGGCAAGACCAAATAAACCTAGACCATCCCTGACAAGGGTTTGTCTGTTCTTAAAACCCTCCAATGACAGGTATTCTACATAGTCCAATGATTTATCTATGCCAGGGGTTGGGGAACCTAAGGCCCAGGAGTCATATCCAACCCCCAAGGCTCGGGGCTCCTCCCCTCCCAACATTGGGGAGCTCATGCTGGTTCTTCAGCCCCGCATCCCCCCTACAGCTCCTCCTGCAGGGCTGAATCACCAGTGCCCCACTGTGAGAAGAGGAGCCCCAAGCCTTGCGGGCCAGAGTCAGGCAAGCCAGAGATGGAGCCGATCCAAGGGCTCTGCTTGGTGTGGGAGGAAGCGGCTCTATGTGCTGCTGCTTCCCCACCTCAGCTGGAGCAGTAAAGTGCTGCCTGGGGGCTCCCCCCCAATCTACTAGCCTGGGCCCCCTTAGGTTCTGCTATGCAAGGGGAATGTGGGGAGTGTCTTTCTGTGGGGAGTCAGGGGACATGTCAGTTAGGTGGTTTTGGTTGGTGTTTTTTTGTTTTTGTTTTTTTTTGCTTCTCGTGCAGTCCCTGACTGATTTTTTCTGTGGGTCAGTGTCCCCTGACCCAAAAAAGGTTCCACACCCCTACCCGAAGGGGTCGTCTGTGCTTATAGTTAGAACATATTTTCCTAATATCTGACATAAATCTCCATTCTTGAAGGTTAAGCTCATTATTACTTAGACTTCCTTCAGGTAAATATAATTTATTACAAAATATAGTTCATTACAAAATTTATTTGAAAACTTACCAGGTCTCCACTCCATCTTTTTATTTCAAGATGGAGCATACCAAGCTTTTTTAGCCTTTTCTCACGTCAGGATTTCTAAACTATTTATCATTTTTGTTGCTCTCCCCTGGACTTTCTCCAGTTTATTCGCATCTTTCCTAAAATGTGGCACACAGAACTGGATTCAGTCTACCAGCAGAAACCTCACCAATGCTGAGTAGAGCAAGATAGTTATCTACTGTTTCTTAATACAGTCCTGAATACAGGCAGTCCCCGGGGTACATGGATCCGACTTACATCGGATCCCTACTTACAAACGGGGTGAGGCAACTCCGCACTAGCTGCTTCCCCCCAGCAGACCAGGGAGACGCGGAGCGGCTTTTCTCAGCAGACACCTCAGCTTGAGAATAAAGGACTGAGGGAAGTGAGGTGTGGGAGAATAAAACTGAGCTCTGGAGAAATGTTTGGCTAGAGTTTCCCCTACAATATGTACCAGTTCCGACTTACATACAAATTCAACTTAAGAACAAACCTATAGTCCCTATCTTGTATGTAACCCGGGGACTGCCTGTACTAGCCTTTGTCACAACTCCATCATGTTGTCTCATATTCAGCTTGAGTCCCTATAACTCCCAGATTCAGTTAGCACCTGAAGTACCCTAGGATGAATTCTATAAGGTCTGTCACCTTTAATACATCTAACTTATCTAAATATTATTTCCCCCTTGTTGTTAGTAGTGTTAAGTATTTGGTCACCATTAATCTTTTTATTAAAGCAAAATAGGCATTACATACCTCAGGTTTCTTGATACATGATTTATTAGCTCTCCTCTGCTAAGTAGTGAACCTACATTTTCCTCTCTTACTCTTAGGCTGTGTCTAGACTGGCAAGTTTTTCCGGAAAATCAGCTGTCTACGCTGGCCACTTGAATTTCCAGAAAAGCACTGACAATCTCATGTAAAATCATCAGTGCTTTTCCGGAAAAACTATGCTGCTCCCGTTCGGGCAAAAGTCTTTTTCCGAAAGACTTTTGCCCAAAAGGGCCAGTGTAGACAGCATAGTACTGTTTTCCGCAAAAAAGCCCCAATCGCGAAAATGGTGATCGGGGCTTTTTTGCGGAAAACCGCATCTAGATTGGCCACGGATGCTTTTCCGCAAAAAGTGCTTTTGCGGAAAAGCATCCTGCCAATCTAAATGCGTTTTTCCGAAAATGCTTTTAACGGAAAACTTTTCCATTAAAAGCATTTTCGGAAATTCATGCCAGTGTAGACGTATTTATAAAGCCTCTTCTTATTGCCTGTTGTGTTTTTTGCTACATGTAACTCATTTGTGTCTTAGTCTTTCTGATTCTGTTCCCACAAGGTTATACTAGGTTTTTTTCATCCTTATGAAATTATCCACGTTTCCACATTTTGTAGGATTCCTCTTTGATTTGGCGAAGCCATATTGAGCTCTGAAAGAGGGCACTCACCTCTCATGAGCATCTCTAGTGGTCTAGGTGTGATGCTGCTGTTTTTTTTTCTCCTGACATCTCCTATAAGTTGGTAGCTTCATTAGGGGCATCTACAGTGACTCTGCTCTCCAACCAAGTCACACATTCAGTATGAATGAACAAACTTACCCCTTCCAGGGTAACAAGAAGTTCAGCATATTATCAACCCCGATACAGATCTTCAGCCCTGTGTCTGGGCCCTTTAACACTAAGGCTTCTCAACAAACTTTGTCCCTTTCTCAAGACTTGCACTACTTCCCCAGTGGGAGAACTGAAGGAAGCCCATTAGGCCAACTCCCAAAACAGCACCCAGTTCACTGCTGCCATTTCTTGAGCCTTTTCTCAGCTGACTCCTTTCCTTTCACCCATCACCTTAGGGTTACTGTTATCAGATCCTCTTGTTCTCAGGACCAGGCTATTCAGTGCAGAGCTATAGGATGGATTGGGGCAGTAGCCCCAGGCCTCCTTAACTGACCTATGGATGGAGGGACATAGGAGATTACTGGAGCCTGGTATGAGGCGATAGCAGGGCCCCCCACCCGCTCATCACCCAGATGGAGGGAGTCGGAGCAGCCTGTGCCACCCTCCCCGCCCGCAGTTCTCAGCTTCTCCATGACAGTGGGAAGCAGAGCATCCCAGGCCCAGGGCACTACCTTTCCTGCTGCTGTGGAGAAGCAGGGTGGAGCAGGCTGCTATGCTGCTCCAGCTCCTGCCATCCGTGTAGTGAGTGTGGGGGGTATATGTGTCCCTGCTCCTGTAATCCTTCGGGGCCACATTGCTCAGGGGAGGAGGAAAGGGAGCAGAACAGGAGCATGGCTTGGAGAAGGGGTGGACTGGGGGCCCCACCCCCAGAACATGGGGAGGGCGGGTGGTGCATGGCCCCAGACTCCCTGGCCCCAGAACACAGGCAGAGAGGGTGGCATGTGGCCCCAGCTTTCCTGGCCCCAGAACACAGGGAGGGCAGGTGGTCTAGAGCAGCAACAGTCCACCTCCAGTATGCTTACAATAGGCATTCTGAGGGTGGAGTATGAGTGGAGCCAGGCTGGCTGTTTGGGATTATAAACAGCCTTCCCCTGCCTTCCCCTGCCTATTATACCCACCACCCCTGCTGCTGTGCTCTGATTAGCTGCTTCTGTACAGCCTTTCTAAGCAATCCTTTACTGCTGTGTTATCGTTACTGCTCCTTTTCTGGGGCTGGGTGTAGTATGACACAACGCCTCCAGCAGGGGACTTTAAAGGGCAAGGCACACCCAGGCACAGCCTTTTACTCTTTATATCTTTCCCTGCATTGGACTAGTTTGCTTTAGTGATTTTAATACTGTCTTTGAGAAACTGCCATCTTTCCTGAGCTCGTTTTTACCTTAGGTTTTCTTCCCAAGGGGCTTTACCTACCAGTTTTCTGGGTTTTTTTATCTTTATTCTGCTGCTCTTACTCCTCATTCCTGTCTTCAGAATCATAAAGTGATTTCATAATCACTTTCATTCATGTTGCTTTCATCCTTCTGATTCACAACCAGTTCCTCCTGTTGGTTAGAATCAAGTCTAAATGCGCTGTCCCACTGGTTACTACCTCTACCTTCTGAAACAAGAAGTTGTCCCCAGTACATTCAAAGAACCTATTGGAAAGTTTGTGTTTTGCAGTATTACTTTTCCTACAGATGTGTGGTTAGTTAAAGTCCCCTATTACTATCAGGTCTTTTGTTTTGGATATTGCTGTTATTTGTTGTAGAAATACCTCTTATGCCTTCTTCTTTAGACTTTGGTGGTCGATAGTAGACCCCCTACTATAACTTGCTTGTTTTTCCCCTTTTATTTTCTCTCAAGAGTCTTTCAACTGGTCTGGCTCGCACTTCTTACTGGATGTCAGTACAAGTGTATTTTTTTATATAATGCAATACCTCCCCCCTTCCTCCCTGCTTTTCTCACGTGAACAAGATATACCCTTTTATATCAATATTCTAGTCATTAGATTTATCCCACCAAATTTCAGTGATGACAATTAAGTAATAATTTGGCTTAGGTACTAATATTTCCACTTCCTCCTTTTTATTCCCTATACTCCTTGAATTTGCATATAGACATCTAAGATGAGGAGCTGATTCCTTTATTGTTTCCCTCTTGCTGCTCCTATGAATATATCAAAATTTGTCATGTTACTCACATCTACCTTCCTATTAAGATCACCTTTTGTTATATCTACCTATAGGTTTATGTTTCCTGCCCCCCTTTGAACTTAGTTTTAAACCCTGCTAACCAGATTGGTGAGTTGATGTCCAAAGATGCTCTTCCTCTTCTTTGTCAAGTGGAGACCATCTTTTCCCAGCAGTTCTCCTTCCCAGAACAGCATTCCATGGTTGGGGAAGCCAAAGCCCTTCTGTCAACCTCATCTCTGCAGCCACTTTTAGACTTTTTGTTCTGAAACAGTGTTTCAGTCAAACTTTAGTTAAATTTATTCTAAAAGACCTGAAAAAATTTAAACAAAAATTGTTTCAGATTGAACAAAATGTTTCATTCGACCCATAATGATCCCCCCCCATTTTTATTTTGGCTACTAAGTGAAAATATCAGTTATTAGTACAGATATACTTACGAAGTCCCCTCTATAACCTGCAACATTCCCAGCAGTACCCTAACTGGGAAAGGCTGAGTCTAGAGTAGCTGTGATCTCTCTTGACTAGTGCTGCTGTCCAAGTCTGTACTGCAAGATGCTTGTGTTGGAGAATATGAACTTGTGCTTGTGAGCAATAGTCTGGATTTACTTATGACTATGTATTTGTGTGACCTTGCAGGACCATCTGATGTTCCCTCGGATGTTAATGAAATTGGTCAGTCTTCGGACTCTAAGCAGTGTCCACTCCGAACAGGTGTTTGCCCTTCGACTACAGGACAAGAAGCTCCCTCCGCTGCTCTCAGAAATCTGGGACGTGCATGAGTGATTGTGTATTCCCAAGGCACTGACCTGTTGAAGTAACATCATTACCTATCCCTTGCAAACCAGAAGCCAGCCTCCCCTCTCCAAAGCACTGAACTGTGGGCTGGGCAGTGCAGAGTGATGAGTCTGTGGTTTCTCTGATGTGATGAGAATGCATAAGGCAGCTGGGAGAGATCAGATGGTTTTGCAATCTTTGATTTATTTTCCCTTCCTTCCCCCTTCTCCCAAAATGGGATCACATCTGAAAATAATAGAGATGAAGATCCTATGCCATGTTTCCTCAAAGTTTCTTTATTTTTTCTAAGTACATGTTCTAGGGCCATGGTCCCCAACACGGTGCCCGCGGGCGCCATGGCGCCCGTGGGGGCATTTGCATGCGCCCACCAGGTGCTCAGGGCTGGCCTGGCCCCGGGCACATGGCACGCTGCGCTTGACGGGGGGAGTGCCGGTGTATAGTCAAAAAGTGAAACTTCTCAGTTTTTGTGCTGCACCGGCCCCGGGCGCGCGGTGCTTGCCTGGGGGTGGGGCGCCGGGCGCGCGGCGCTTGGAGGGGGCCCCACCCCCGGGCATGCGGGTATGGGGGGGTCGCCCCCGGGCACCCGGCGGGCGAACGGCCACGCCCCCTGGCGCCTGGCGGGCAAACGGCCATGCCCCCTGGCGCCCGACAACCTGAAAAGGTTGGGGACCACTGTTCTAGGGCTTTGCCCCACCTATTCTTTCCCTTCTCATTGATTCTGAAAGTGAATTTGCAGGAACTTGCTAAACCTTCACTGACAGCATCTTAGCCCAAGAGGCTTCCCCAAGGTTTCTGAGGCAGGGTCCCCTGTGTATGTGGATTTGAAGAACTCAGGGAAGTATCATGTGGATGTGCTAGGGGGATTCCCTGTATTTAAAGTCTCTGTTATGGGCTGCCCTTCACAAAAATTCCCAAAGAAGATGCTGTTGGTGGCATTCCCTTTTTGTGAAGCTTCATCTCTAAAACTATTTTTTGCATTCTGGCTCTCATGTGGCAAGTAGATATCTTGAATGTGCAGTGCCATTTACTGAAAATTGTTCTGTAGACAGGGAACATCTTCTGTGTACCATAGAGAAACCATGAATCATTTAGCTGCTTTTTAAAAATAAGATTGCCCATCACGAAAAGCAATGACTTTAAAAGCAATGACTTGAAACCATGGAATAGATGTTATGTTGGTGTTTATGGAGAAGAGAGAGGAATGGAAGATGCATCAGAGTCTGGGCAGTAGAGGTGATGGAAGTATGTCAAGAATCACCAAAAATTTAGTATGTTTAGTGTGTTGCAGTGCAAGTGAAGATTATCAGCTGGGGACAGAGAATGCATTGCATTTATAGAATAGTAAAGGTCATTGCCTAACCTATGATCTGAGTAGCTCTCTCAGAACCCCATCTTTAGGAGTATTGAGCATAACCAACTCTGCTGAACTGTTTTTCTTTAAAAAAACAACAAATGGTCTGGTAGCACTTTATAGACTAACAAAACATGTAGATGGTATCATGAGCTTTCATGGGCACAGCCCACTTCTTCAGATGACTGGAGTTTTGAGTTTAGGATGTGCAGACCCAAAATAAATAGGAGAGAAGGGGAGGGGGGAGAAGGAAGGGATGGGAGACAGGGAGCAGAGGGTATAGAAAATTCAGGAAGGTAGAGGGAATCAGTAAGTTTCTGAGGATTGGGTATTTAAAACAAAGCAGATAAGAATCAAGGTCAATTGATAGTATCCTTCCTGACATAGGAGTCTACATAAAGAGCTGTTTGCACCTTCATTGAGTATTAGGTAGTTAATGTCCTAACCATCCTTCATCACAATTGAGTCCATTAGCATGAGAATTTAATTTGCAGATGAACTCTAATTCCAATGCTTCTCTGTGTATCTGGCTAGTAGAATTAGTTTGTGACAAGACAGCCACTTGAAGATACGCCTACACTGCATGGTTTTTGTGCAAAAACCTGTGGAGCATCCACACCTCAATTGCACTTTTGTGCAAGTAAATCTACAGTAAAATGGCAGAACAGAGGGCTTTTTGCGTTGCAGGTAAGCCTCCTTCTGAGAGGCATAATGCCTTTTTGCGCTACAGCTGTTGTGCAAAAAGGCATGTGTGGATGCTCCGCAGGGGTTTTTTTGCGCAATTAGAGCCAATCTGAAAAAGTACAGGTGCTCTGATGGCCATTCTGTGAATGGCCATCAGAACTTTCTTGTGCAAGTGCGTCCATGCAGTGTGGACGCTCTCTTGTGCAAAAGTGCAATGCAAAAGTGATGTGCTTTGAGGTGTGGATGTGCTTTTGTGCACTAAGTTATTGTGCAAGAACTCTTGCACAAAAGGCTTCTTGCGCAAGAAGCCTGTAGTGTAGACATAGCCTTAAGGTATTTCCAAGAATATGGTTAGTAAGGCTGTGATTGTCATGGAGGATGCGGAATTCACAGAATCCATCACTTCCAGTGACTTCTGTGACACTGGCAGACCTGCAGCTGACTAGCTGCTGCCTGCAGCAGGGGACCCCGTAACAGCCCAGCTTCTGTGATCAGTAGGGGGACTCTCCTGCAGCTCCCAGTGGCGAGACCCACCACAACTGATTTCTGCTGCTGGCATCAACCCGTAAGCTCCCCAGTTGCCACCACTGGCATGAGCTCCCCCTGTAGCTGCTCATCCATGTCAAGCAGCTGGATCCCCCTGCCACTCCCAGTCACTTTTGGTGGCAATAGAGGGATCCCCGAGCTATTCAGCAGCCGGGGGTTCCCAGCAGCTCTGCAGCTGCTGCTGCTGGCAGGGGTCTCTCCTACTACTGTTCAACTACCATGAGCAGCCAGGGCCCCATCACAGCTCCCAGTCATTGGCAGTTGCAGAAGAAGGATCCTGGAACTACTCAGCAGCTGAGGCCATGAGGTTCCCTGCAGCAACTCAGTCTCCATCACTTGCAGGACCTCCCTCCTACAGCTCCCCCATTGCTGTGGGCAGTGGGGAATCCCCTGCAGCTCCCAGTCCCATAGGGCATCAAAGGAAACCCCTCATACTCACTGGGCATTGGGGTCTCTGTAGCTTCTACCCACCGTAGAAGGGAGGGGGGATAATGGAGCTGGATCTTCCTCCTTCCCCATTTTGTTAGTGATGTTTTTAGTAAAAATCAGGGACAGGTCATGGCTTCCATAATTTTTTATTTTCTTCCTGTAACCTCTCTCTAATTTTTACTAAAAATATCCATGACAAAATTGTAGCCTTAGTGTTTAGTGCAGGGGTGGGCAAGATAAACCTGACCTTCCTTCTGCACCCAACCTCCATCCCAGACTCTGAACCCCCTCCATAGAAAAGTGCAGCTCTTGACCATTTACCAAAATCTTGGAGTGCCCCCCCATCAAAAATTATTGTCCATCTCTGGATTAGTGGGATGTGAAGGCATCTCTGTATGATGAATACCCTCTTGTCCTGGTATAAATACTTACTAAATCCTCTTCTCTCCACCTTGTGCATCCTGAGATTCACTCACCAGTGACCTGTTGGTCTATAAGTATTTTAGTATTTAGAGAAATAATTTGTTTGACAAAACAGAGAAGTGTCATTGCAAAAAGTGTTCCTCATTCTGCAAGAAACAGAGTGTATTTGATCCCAGAGGTAACTATAAGGCTCTTGGTGGCCTGGTCTTAGTTTATCTTCTCTGTAACAGGGATTTATGTTTGTTTGCCCAGTGAGTATCCTGAGAGCCTTCGTTCATATGGCTCCTCGTTTTGGGCTGTGTATGTGAGCACCATGTCTGTAGCAAGGGCTTTTTGTCCATTTTGCACTCAAGGTTGGTTCCCTGCCTCTAGCCTTCACTCTGCACCTTTGTAAAGCACTTGTAACAATCTGTAAAATAATCTGTTGTTTTTTTATAACTCATTGCAATTGCAAAATTACTTGTTTAAATCTGTATTTTTAACTAATCTGTTTGAGAAATGTTAATGTTTATACAAAAGAATAAAGCCTAATACAATATTTTTGACAAGCTATGATGCACCATCTTTTTAGGGTTGACATAAACTGTTCATCTTTTGAACCTCAAGTTAATAATTAAAAAGGAGAAAACACAGCATGGAGAAGGAAATGGTTGAGAATGCAAAACTGTGTGGCTCCAATTTAACTTCCTTCACCCTCTCCACATGTTGGAGAAATCTCCTATGAAAGTCACCAGCTTGCTGCACATCTTTCTGGAACCCCAGCTGACAGAGGGGTGCTTTGTGCTCCCCCCGAAAGGGGGGGTACAGGTTGCACCGTGGAGACGGTGCTGGGGGACTGGGCTTTTAAGCCGGGTTCCCCCCCCCTTGCTGCCTCTGATACAGAGGCAGCAAGGGCTGGGGGGCGAATGAGAATAGTAGGCTTATCGTATTCTGTTAAGTATGGTATCCTTAGATGGGGGTTGCAGCCTATTTTAGCACGTGTTCATTAAGCCCCTTGCCTTCAGCAGATGAGGGACCTAGCGCTGCTTGGCTTCACCTCCTGCCGGGTCTGCAAGGGGGGCCGGCTGATTTCCCCAGGTCCCGCCCTGCTCAGCCGAGGCCGGTGCGACCCGCATGCAGCCTGCAGCGCCCCTCCGCCTTGTGGTGCCTAGGTGTTCTCGCCGCTCCCCCTCCGCCGTGTGTAAGTGGTTCGCTCCCTCCCGCCC